ATGTTTCCAGAAATATCACACTCTGAAGCACTTCTAGGAGCTCTGGTAAGTCTTCTCCAAAAATTTTAGTTCATAAAATTAATTAGGAGATTTTATATTAATTTTTAAAGTGAGCAGTGCACAAGATAGGGTAGTAGGTTTAAAAACGCCGGTCCCCAGGGTGATTTAAATATTTAAATCACCAGTCCGCGAAGTGTTAATGAATTGAGCACTATGCCATTAAGATGTGTGGGGGAGTGAAGGTATAGTTCTATCATTCTTGACCTCAGCACTAGATGGAGATAAGTGGTCAGCTTCTCACACTGGCCCCTTTACCCCTGGGGAAAGAAACCCTGATACCCATTGAATAAGAAGCTGGGTGGACCCCAGAGCCACCCTGGATGTTGTGGAGAACAGAAAATTCTCTTGACCCTGGTGGAAATCGAACCCCAGCCGTCCAGTCCATAGTCTGCTGCTATACCGACTGACCAATCCCAGCAGAATAAGACACAAGAATAAATGTCCTTTTTCTCTCTCAAGAGGAACTAAAGATAAAAATCTAAAATTCTTAAATACTTACTTTGCATGCTTTACGAATTTCAGGGATGCTTTGATTGAGTGTAATTACAATAGTATATTCTGAGCATTTCATTAGCAGTATGTCAAAACAGTTCACATTTTCCTTCAGCACAAGACACAACTTGAGCTGTTGCATATCCAAACCGAAAACATGCTGCCTTCATTTTATTGGGCTTTCACTTGTAGACATTAATATCATGCACATTAACTGTGTGATTTAAAGTGCACAGACTGTGTACTATAATCTACATCTTATGACTTTAGCTAAGAACTTCTTAAACATTTATAAATTTAGAATTGCACTTTTAATTCGTATTCTCTCCGTATGAATAATGGTAGTAGTTATTAATACTTACAGTTCAATGCTCTGAATAGTTGAATTTGTACAGTTGGAGTCCACTTTAATGTGGCAATGCTTGTGACACTTCAGTTCACAGTCTCGACATTCATAGCCCTGCTTCCCTAGCCGCCTTGCCACAGACTTACTGCACACTTGGCAAGTAGCACCACTGTAACATATGTACAGGTAATGCAGTCAGTATTACTGAAATACAAAAGAGCCACAGAGCCAACTCTTTATTTTCACAATGCAAGCAATGCAAATTAACTCTGGCATTTAGAACAAGTGTAACAGAATTTTGGCCTTTAACTGCTACTTGTTCATGAGATCTACTTTTTGAGCACAAGTATATTGTCACGTGCTGGGTATGTCATGTGACAAATAACTTTACGCCGTCTTGGATGTAGCAAATTTATTGAACACTCGCTCTCACAATTACACCACTATTGCCATCTGCAGTATCACAAATACTTCTCCTGTAGTCATTTCCATTCACTGAATAACAATGGACTTCAACTCACTGTGGCAAATGCTAGACTGCAACTGACTGGTTACTCTGGTAATCCTCGTTATGTAGCTTCTGCACTGACAACACAGAAAGCAGTTACATGATAGCTACCACTGTTGCGTAAACGCCGTGTTTACAGACGCTGCTAGGAAATGCTGCCGAGAGTTGTTTATTGCTGCGTAGTAACTGCAGTGCCCCCTGTTACATCACCATGGGGGAGGGGGACGGAGTGTTGACTGGCTTGTTACCATAGCAGTGGCAGTTGCTCTGATGCTGTTATGTCACTGCTGAAGGGGGGGGGGGGGTTTACCTAGCGTTGCACCATCCATGTCACAATATATATCTCTATGTGCCCTACTGAACTGTTCTGTTGTTAATACTGAATGTCGCTAAACATATTCTTTACAAAGTAGCAGCCTATTGTAAGAGTTGTGAAAGTTCTCAGTTTTCAATCAGTTTATTTTAAAACAAACTGTACTGAAATAATTAAAAAAACCGCCTATTTATCATGAATATCTTATGCATATGAGTCATACTGACCAACAATATTTTCTTACAACAGTGATTTGTAACACCTACTTGTTGAATAAATAATAATTGGACACTTTACACTCTTAAGTGACACTTGAAAATTAATGTACTTCAAGAAACACTGAATTATTTTTACCTATGATTAACAAAAACTAGCTCTGTTCAATAGGTCCAATTGAATAGGTACTTCCTCTCTTTTCTTGTTTCTTACTTGATGGAGAAAAGCCAGCCTTAAAAATGCTGTAGACGTTATTTCAACGACAGACAATGATTCATGTCTAATGAATGTTCATACATCGTACTACCAGAACTGATATATGTTGTGAGGATACAATGTAGTGTACAGAACTGTTCAAGGGTATATGAGTGCTCAGAAAAGCAACACAGTGACTTTATTAAGATATTTCAGTTACTCACCCAGAGAGATGCTTTGCAATGAATGTGTGATCATTGAAAATGTGGAGTTTGATTCCTTTCTTCCGCCATTTACTCTTCTGTGCCATGGACAGAGGTACAAGATAATGTCTGAAAATTGTGAAGTACAGTAAATATGTTATTTAATTTTAGCCCACATAATTTTGTTCTTTTTTATAAAAACAGCAATACCTCACATAGTCCAGCTTTGATCTGTCCAGATTCACTATAGTCCAGTTTGAAAATTTCAAAACAAACTAAATTTTAATTGAGTAAAATGAAAATAAATTCTAAAAAATTAGTACACAAAATTATTTTTAATACATATATGATCGGTTTTTTCCCTTTATACAGTCAAGTCTCTTTTTGTGTTGTTTATTTTTATGTGGTTTTAAAGTTATGCACTATGATAACATATTTCAATTTTTTTCTGGGTTTCCCATTGTATATGTATGTACCTATGCTCGGGTCGTTTGTTCATGAGCTCTGACAGCTATCGCTTAAGGAGGTGTGGAGAGCACTACTTTAACGAAATTTTGGAAGCGCTACAATCAGAAACGTTATCAAAAATATAGGCGAAACATGGCATGAATTAACGGCAAGCAATATGAGGGCAGTATGGAAACATATCATACCACATTGTGCAAATGATTTCATTGGTTTTGAAACTCATTTTGTTGAAGTCACTAATAACATAGTGGAAATTGGACAGTCACCTGGTTTCAATGAGTTAGATTCCATCAATGTAATTGAGCGCATCAAATCAAACACTAATGAACTAGATAATGAAACACTTATTAACATAGATGAACAACGGGAGGACAACTTAGACAATGACGACTGTGTTGAAGTGCCTGCATGAGAATTAACAGCCGAACAACTATAAAATTTATTGGAATGGTTGAAACCTTGTCAGAGCATATTATGGAAGTTTATCCCAATATTGAACGTAGCCTTACAATTCGCTAAACGATAAGCAATGCAATTCATTGCTACAAAGAAATGTATGAAGAGAAAAGGCCAAAGAAGAAAAATGTGCAGACATCAATATTGCAATTTTTATAGAATAAAAAATTAATTGCAAAAAACATGATTTTTTTTAATTATTTCTAACAAAGACATTTGAATTTATTAATCGCGTTTTATTTATTGAAAAATGGAGATTGATTTTTTGGAACAAGTTATCATTTTTTGTATGTATTTAGTTCCTCGATTAGTCCGATTTCAAACAGTCCGGGATATTGGTGGAACCGATTACCCGGACTATGCGAGGTATTGCTGTAAACCCAATCATCACACATGAGGCAGGGCAATTAAACCTACAGAGATTTTAAGTTATTTAAGCAGCTCTGTCATTACCTGTGTTTTTATGTACTTAAATATACTACCACAGTCAATAAGTTCGTGGAATGGCCTCAAAGCGTCGTGCAGGAATTTACTGCCAATATGTTCCAGCAATGTTTTCGGCTGCTATATGAACATTGGCAGATTTGCATAGCGGCCAATGGCAACTATTTGCAGGGCCGATGTGGATCTGCATAAGTGTATGTAAATACCTTGTAATATGATGCAATAAAACCACATTCAACGAACTTAATGACTCTACCACGTAAAATTCTGTTAAGTGTTCAGCAACATTTCTGAAAATTCTTTTGTTCATAAATATCAAACTTAACAAAGCTATTTTTGTGTTACAATTATGTTGTTATTCTTGGCTCATGAAATTACTAATAAAAATTTCAGACTTTTAACTGAATGCTGAATATCATTATCTGATGTTGAACAGTATTGTATTGTATTGTATTTATTAGCATTCATCGATACATTCAGGTACATGACCATTGGATATAGAAATTGTCAGCAGATTACACTGACATTTACATAAGTTTGTCTTAACATAAAATAAATAAAAATTAAAATATATATAAGAAACTAATGCATGCAACTAAAATACAAAGCTATAATTACTGGAATACCCCAAGGTCAAATTTACAAGGTGGTTCAAATATGACTGGGACTGATTTAAAAAAAAAAACCATAATTGCCAAACACTTACTTGCACATGTCAGTCTTCAACGTACTCCCCTCCGGAGTCAACACATTTTTTCCAACTTTCTGGAAGCATCCTGATACCCAAAAAAAAAGACTTGTGGTTGGTAGCGTATCCACTCCCAAACAGTCTGGATGATGGCGTCGTTGTCCACAAACCACATGCCTTGCAAGTCTGATTTGAGCCTTCCGAACAGGTATAAATCACTTGGGGCCAAACTGGGACTGTACGGCGGATGTGTCAAGGTTCCATTTCAATTTCCAAAGGGTTTCCATTGTTGTTTTGGCCATATGTGGGCGTGCATTATCTTGAAGGAAGGTTACCCGCTTTCCACCTGTCTTCCGCTTGGATCAGATCTTTTCCTTCATGTCTGTTGCCAGGAGGTCTGAGTAATAAGTTGCATTGACTGTTCTGGCATCTGTCAGGAAGTCTACATAGATAATCCCCTGCCAGTCCCAGAAGAACGTTGCCATCACTTTTCCTGCTGAACGGCTCCTCCGTGCTCTCATGGGTTTGGGAGAACTGGTATGCCGCCACTCACGTGATGACTGCTGGGACTCAGGAATGAAGTAGTGCACCCACATTTCATCAGTGCTCACTATAGACTTCAAAAATGCATCACCTTTGTCTTCAAACTGCTGTAGGAGACAACTGGCAGCTTGCATATGCACCATTTTGTTCACATTCATCAAAGTGCGTGGTACCCACCGTGCATTCACCTTGCGATAGTGCAGGTGGTATTTCACGATGTCTTCTACACTAACAACACTGATGGACAGCATTGCTCCAAGTTCCTTGATAGTGATGCACCTATTTTCACGAATAAGTGCGTCTGCACGATCAATGTTTGGCTTGGTGACGGATGTTTGCAGCCGACGATCATGCAGTTCATTCTCCACGCGCTCTCTGCCCTCTCTGAAGCACTTACACCACTCAAACACACGGGTCCGTGAGAGACACTCTTCCCCATACTGTTGTTGGAGTCTGTGGTGAATCTCAGTGGACGGGACGTTTTCTCCAACAAAGAATTTGATCACAATGCGTTGTTCCACGCTCCGCAGTACCTCCTGTATGCTCATCCCTCTAGCAACTCCCAGACAGCACTGAACAGGTTCTAACCCTAACAGGATGGAGAATGGAGGTTGTGGCTACAATCTTTCAAGGTTGCACAGCTGCTGCGCAGTGCGGCTTGTTTACAAAAAAATCAGTCCCGGTCATATTTGAACCACCTAGTATTATTCCTATCAAGATACTCTTCAACTGAATAAAAAGAGTTTTCTATAAGAAACTTTCTCAATTTATATTTAAATTTATTAATATCATGTGCAACTTGCTTGATATTGAGGGGTAGAGGGTTAAATAAGGTAATACCAGCATAATATACTCCTTTGTGAACTTTAGTTAGACTTACTAAAGGCACATGAAAGTCCAATTTTTGGCAGGTATTTATTTTATGCAAGGCAGTATTTAATCCCTCGTGAATAAATGGCTGGGCAAGTGAAATGAATGATGGTACAACAATAATGATGACAATAACAACAAAACAACAAAAGTAGTATGATTATCATGCCCTATAGTGGGATATCTCCTGTGGGGTAACCATTTTTCCATGAAAATTACATTTTCAATTCACTACATTCAAAGCAGATCTAGAACACAACAAGCAAAAAAAAAAAAAACCTGACGATAACTATATATTTCATATCTTTAGAACTTAACAAGCTAGGAGGTTGGTCTAGCAGTTAAGACTCTAACCTCATACATAGGAGGCATTCAGTTCAAATCTCAGCCAGGACATTGGCTGTTGTAACTGAGGTTTTCCATGGTTTTCCTCAGTACCTCTATTAGGCCACAACTGTTTCCTTTCAAGTCCTTTCCAATTCATTATTCAACAGTCATCTTACCACTCAACACTATATAGTCTACCTACTGACAGTATCATAAAATAACCCATAAAAATACATGAATTTTCTCTGCATTTGAGTGACATTGAAGGAGAAAGTGATATCTGCATATACAGTGGCAGTAACCCATCGCTTAATGTGAAGGGCACTGGAATGCAGTAAACTTCAACACACCACAAGTTGGGACTGGCATTAAAAATACAGTACTGTGCCATGGAATACATTTCTTGTGACTTGGGCTTTTATCCCTCCTATTCCATGTGCTCATATGGAAGATTCTGTGTCCTTAGTCACACAAAGGCTACATTTGTTCTGTATCTGAATGACCCCTGAATGTTATCGTGTTCTTCAAGAACAACAGAAGGAATACTTGTAAGGCCCTAAAGAAATTTCTTGTGGTTTCAGAAAGGAAAGAGGAGGTCTGGCTATTAAAGATGAAAATGACAGTACATTAATTTCACGGCTGTGTGGACTAAACAGGTTTGAAAATATGGACATAAAAATCTTAAATAAATATCTGAAAGTGACAAGTGACCAAGCTTCCTACACATGAAGACACATCACACCAAGAATATAGTTCACATTAAAATTACAAACTTTTCTAATACAAGAAATCAGGTTTCCTGTTTTGCACAGTTATGTGAATATGTAACAGAAAAAAAAATAAACTCCATGGTTTTAATCTGTGTAGAGGCTCAAATTCAAGATGAGAGAATGTAAGACATGACCCAAAATGTTCGCGACTTGCGAAAAGCGTTTCACAGTTATTACAGTAATCTGTCAACACCTGGACAGACAAATAGGTTAAGAATGTTGATGATCAGCAAGTATGTGTACCCGCAGTAGCAAGATGGCGACTTGCTGTGACGACTTATATTCTCACTCTATGCAAATTAGTAATAAACAAGCTCAAAATGGTGACTATAAGTGTGTTAAATGTGATACCCTTGAAACTCAGTTAAAGGACGCTTTACTGGAAATAAGCTCGTCTCAATTCATAATTAAGCTCCTATATAAAGAGTTAAATGAAGCTCAACGTCTTGCAGTGCCACGTGCTACCACGCTGAACGATGCTGTTAACCTCCCGGTCGCGTCTTCCACATGGTCTAAGGTGACACACAAGAATTCTTACAATAAAAAGGGCCCAGTTAATAACAAATCTGTGGATCTATGGCCTCTACCGGAAACTTCAAACACATATTCAGCTTTATCCGATCTCCCGGAATTCACAACAAAAGGTGACGAAACAACTTCATCAAAGAGTGAGGTTAGGACTTTAGGGAACAAGCATCATCCCAGGCGACGACAGTCGGTTCCAAATAAGTACGAAACTGAAAGTAAACAAGGAAAGGACGAAAAAACGGACTCCGTGCAGAGGCAAATACTACCAATTATAAATGGCCAAGTATGTATCAGCAAGGAGTGCGAATCTAGGCAGTGTGTTAATGAGGTTCCTTCCAACCTCAAAGATAACGGCTATAGTAATGCAGTACCAAATGATGATAAAATTAAGAATTCAAATATCAGTGCTAATGTGAAAGGTAGAATTCAGTCAAAATATTATAAAGTGCTACTGATTGGCGACAGCCATGCAAAGAAATGTGCTTTGAATCTTAGACATAATCTAGACCATAATTATGAAGTGTCTGGTTTTATTAAACCAGGATCCTTATCCAACGAGACCATTAAGACTGCCGAAAAGGAAGTATCTTCTTTGAAACAGAAAGACGTAGTGATCCTGTGGACAGGTGCTAATGATGTGAGCAGAAATAATTCTAAAGAAGCTCTAAAAAATCTAACTTATTTCATGTCTGCCAATGAGAAGGTCAACATGATACTANTGAATCCCCATAGCCGTTAATTTCAGTTTTCTAGACTGGAGCCGCTACTTCCTTGAAATAGCTCCTCAATTATCAACATGAGGCTGAGTGAACCCTGCTCCAGACCCACTACTTCTCAGAAAAAATCTGGTGACTCCGGGAATCGAACCTGGACCCCTGGATCTGTAGCCAGGAACTCTAACCACTAGACCACAGAGGCAACAGATCAATTATAAATTACAGCCTATATATTTTTGTGTGGCTATTAAAATTTATACTGCTGGATGTTCAGATTTCTCATTTGTTCTTCACTAACATTAGGCCAGATAATTAAGAATTTGATTTAACATGGTGTAGCACTATATGGGTAATAGTAGGTCATTTCAAAACCTTTGTACCGTTTTATAATCAATTTAATATTATATTTAGGAACATGTAAACTAGAAAATATCTTTTGTTACTGTTTAACGAGTTCCCCTTCTGGTAATGGTTTCTCTCTGTCTCAAGTTTCTGATTTATATACATGGTAAGTGTCACTTCTCCTATATGTATATTTTCTATGCTGAAATGCTCAGAACAGGGAACTGGAGGTAATATTAAGGACAACTAGAAATAGCCCATATATAAACTAAAGATGTCCCTTACTTTTTTACACCATTTTCAATGGTTTCCAGAACAAGCGTAGATGCGTCATTAACATAAGTCCGTGTTGAAGCTCCACTCACACCTGATGCTTCACTGAGACTTGATCGGGTCGATCCATCCAGTTCCCTCAGACCCGGTACTGTTAGGTAGCCTATCCAGGAAAACAATATGATCACTGATATTACAACATCATATTCAACAGATATCAGAATAATAATCAACTGCTCAGGAATAAAAACTGTTGTCTTCATCTTACTCATGAATTATCCAGAAAAAGAAAAGTGTGTATGCAAAATTAACAAGACAGCACAAAACTGAATATATAATTTCTAATTGATAAAGCCATGAAATTTAAGAGAGCAGTAATTCATAGAGATAGAAAATTGGGTTTTATCTTTACTGTAACGCATAATGTTAATTGAAGGTAAAGAATGCTGGAATATTCCCAATATTGGAATCAACACCAGCTAAACCATCTGCAGAAACATATTGCCCTTACTCTCTTAGTTACCATAATCCCTATTTTGGTTTCCACATCACTTAAAATAAATATGTTACAAAAGTACATGTAACTTATTAAAAAGATCCAGGCAGGAAAAAATACATCACAATATAGATTTCACTATATTTAGAGCCAAGTGAACATAAAAACCAGAAACCTCTGAATACTTTGAAAAATAATGGTATCTGTATATGCAGCTTATTACAGTGAAACCTCCATTTAAGGTTTTTCTTCGTTAACATTCAATTTCAGTGATAACATATCAATAATCTCAGTGTTACGTTTCTTCCATTCAAAATCTTCTTGAATATAGTGTTCAAATCCACTGCTCCCTAGAAACACCTTATATGAGAGTTCCACTGTATTTCTTACTCAAAATTCAAAATTACAAATTTATGATTGATACTGATATGAACTTTGGAGGTGGGGGAGGAAAGTTATGACATAATAGTTATCATTACTTGAATCCTGTGTATTTGTTCAATATGATATAACTCTATTTATCATTGTAATTACATCTATAAAACTGTACAAAGTGATTATGAAATTCACATGTAAGTGTTGGACTTACCAAGAAGACATCGCCGAAGCAATAGGTGACAAAGAAAGAAAAAGTAAAACAAATATTATTAGAACAACATCAAAAACAACAATTACATGCAGTGAAAAAGTGAACAGAATGTGTTCGTCATAGAGGAATACTCGTATATTCAAATTACATTCATTAAGGTGAAGCTATTTATAACAATTAGTGCAAGTTCTATATACTATATAGCACAGCATGCAAACTATGCATGTTGAAACTGCCAAGACAGTATAAACATAATTAATTTATCTTAATTTAACAGAGAGTAATGATAGGTGTTTTATGCAACATAAAATAAAAATGATTTTAAATTTATAAATTTGAATGATTTCCATTTAAGTCATGTTATTTTTAAATTGACAAAGAATTAAAAATCCATCCTGTTTGTACCCAGATTTATAATCATGCACATAACTTATTTATTACAAAACTGTAATAAAACGGCCTTACATATATTGTGCTAATATGAATCCCTTGTGGGGTTCGTGTACCATTAGTCTACAACTCAACTGCTTAACCCTAGTTACTGTCATACAGTCTCAACCAGCAAATTAATAGTTTATTTGAAGTGCAGGGTTTCTCATGGAATGAATGATGAGGGGGATAAGAGAAAATTACTCGCTATGGTGCAAAAAAAATAAAAGATGGCTGGACATCCACCTCCTTCTGTTCTATTCAGTATACTACAAATTCTAAGTAGAGCTACTATCTAGGCAGTTTAAGTATTTATTGAGCTTTGCCATTCCTGGATTTCTGTACCTACAGTTTATTGTTCATACAGCAAATACTTCACAAGATGAATTATAATCAGCACACCATGCAAAAATAATTAAGTCTTAAACAGTATACTCCTGTACCCGTGCTAATGAAGGGGAGAATATGCATGAATAATTGAAAAACATGGATAATCCAAGTTTCAGGTATGATTGGGAGACCATGATGACTGTTGTATATAGAGATTCCAAAATGCAAACACTGCATCTGATTTGTTCAGTTATCTCAAAACTGCAAAACATACAGAAAAGGTTCACTGAACATAAAATACTTTACTTGCATTTCTTTACAAATTTTTTTCAAAACTGTTTTGCTCTGATAAATATTTAGCAGGTTGCACTCAAAATTTGTGCACATTTGTGAGTCTTCATGTAAAGTGGTTGTAAATGGAAATTAAAATAGCTTGATATTTCTTCATAAAATTCTTGAATATCAGAAGTAATGAAAATACGAGTATGTTTCATGCATCACATGGAGGAATGGGCTGGGCGTACCTAATTATTGCTCTGCCAGATTGCACACATGCCTAAAGAAGACATGTGGATAAGCTGCAACCCAGATAATCTGTTCACAGATAATAAGGAGTACACTGTAAAAGTCATTTCATGCATGTTTCGATAACACTCAGAAAATCAGAATTGTAATTCCTCAGTTATTTACAATGCATTATGATCTATTTAGATGTCAAGAGAGGATAAACTAATTAAGGATTTCTAAATATTATACTATATTAAAGTTGTACTATTCACAAGACAAGCGTTTACCCTGCACATGACAGAATCATGCGAACTCAAATCCTGTGAGCCTTAAATGTGTCCTTGGTGAAAATAATGAAATTTCTGAATATTCTTGCATAGGTTATATAATCAAAAGGTTCAATTTAAGAATCTTCAGAATATATTACCACAACGGCATCCAATATTTGTAACAAAATACTTTATCAAGAAACATGAGGCCTGCTTATTTGCATATCATATGAATATATGATGTTATGTAGCAGAGTTCTTCAACACAGAGTGTTTAGAAACAATAATATATTCCCTAAGTAGTTACAACAGTGGTTTAAATGTGGTTTACTTGGGTGACCACTTGGGCCTCAAGTCTGTAGTGAACACATGGAGAGGTAAATGTGTAACAGTAAAGAGTATTTACACGAGAAGTTAGTAAGAACTAGTATAACTGTGAGGGTTAAAGTGAAGCTATGAAGTTGTATGCATTCATTAATGACAACAAACTGATATCTATTATTGTGGAATGGAAGTGATTTGGAGGCCAGTGGTTGAACTACTTTCTTGTATACAAGACACTTTTAATTGGTTCTTACTTACTCATCTCAATACTGTATACTATTTAACATTCAAATCTGAAAGTAGTTACTTTCTTAATTCCATCACCTCCTACAGCAAAATAATTCTATGATCACTTTGCAATATCCTCTCCCATTTTCATACTACTCGTACACGTTTTCCATTGTTCCGAAAACTTCCACATTCCAGATAAGATTTGAAGTTTTCACATTAGTGAAAACTTTGAATGTGGCTTTCTGCCTAATAATTCTGTGTAGCCTGGCAAGTGGTTATTGAATTCAATTCAATTTTATTCATTCTTTTTAATGAAACTATAAACATAGGATAGGTCATATATCTGCGTGTGTGTGTGTGTGTAAAACTAACATAAATATGACAGCTAAGTTCCTTCATGCTACCACACAACACAGATACAATTCATAAAAGTGAACCACCTCAAATATAATATTCTGCTAATTTAACATGACATATATTCATCTAAAGAGTAAAATGTATGTTGTAATAGATAGGATCTCTGCTCTCTTTTATACTGCCTAAATTTTTCTACTTTCCTAATTCTATTTGGTAATTTATTTGGTAATATTCATTACACCTTTCTTGATATCATTTGTTTCACAAAACTGAACATGAAGAATCAAATGTTGGCATGTATTATGATGAGGAATTGCAGCATTTTGTTCCAGTTTCTCTATGTGTAGTTTTGTGGCATATTATTTCAGATATATACATGCAAGTTACTGGAAGTATATTTAAATCCTTAAAGAGCTGCATATATGATGTATATCTCCTTGCACCATTGAATGTATCACTCACGTCTATAATTTGAAAATAATTTTACTTTTCAAGTCACCACCCCAGAAAACTAAACTATTTTTAAGGAATCTGCTGACTTTATCTTCAGAGCAAGCATCTACACTAACAATGGAGGCATCAAGTTTCTCTGAAATATTGGCATCTACCAGACTACATGGAGTCATAAACTAAAAGCTCACCATCTAAATCTTCCTAATTCCAACTGCAAAGAACTCTTTGTTGAAGTTATAAAGAATTAATGTTCGTAACTTTTATTCACAGTTATCATAATACAAACATACAAATTAATTTAGACAAGGCATAAATTACATAGTATAATGAATCAATATGGGTCAAAATAAAGGTCATCCAACAACTCTTAATGCAATCTATGGCAATTATACTGAAATTATTCAAAAGATAAAATATGCAAGTGGACAGACAAATATAAGCTCTTCATTATTTATTCAATGTATCAGTGCAAACAATGCATAAAAACATACACACTTTATAGTATTCATGGACCAAAGATGCAGACACCTTCAATACATGAGTGAATGGCTTCTTTTTATGGAATAACAACATATCTTATATGTATTTTCATTATTCTCACCACATCACAATAATTTCTTTGACCTCTGTGTCAATTATATCAATTAAATTTTGGTTTGTTACTTAAACTCATTGCACATGCATGTGAAATAAGTGCAACCTTCATAAAACTGGTGCATTATATTCTTGATTATGAATATGAAGGATGATACCTGTGGAATGGGCTGAGGGATCTCTTGCCCGATCAGCAGATATTGATCTGGTGAGTGAAGCATCTCGATTCAGAGATTCATCTCGCTCCCCAGGATCCATTGATTTGGAGCGAATCTTAGAACGACTTAACCGTTTCTTGATTGTGCCAAAGAAATCACGCTTTTTTTTTCTACTCCTCCCCCTGTCTGCAACATAATACAATCACATAATACAATATGGTACTACTTCAATGGAACTAATTTAATACATGTTGGGTGTGTGGTTTACATTAGGATTTATGAAAATTTAGGTTTGTTTTACGAAATTATTTACAAAGTAACGTATTTTACTCTATTTATGAATTTGTCGAGCATGCAAGGGGCTCAAAAGTTAAGAGTTAATAAATGGTCTGTGTGTGCAAATTATATATTGTTGAGGCTTCCTTGTTGTAAGTGTAGTAGTATGTATGATGTCTATTTGTGTTATGAATTTTAATATTTTATAATTGTAACTGTTTTAATGATATGGCTTGCCAGCATGTGTGGAATGGCAAGGCGTGAATTTGACTGTGGTTTTTCCACGACCCATGTGTGTTGTCCTGACAACTTGGGCTATCTGTGAGAGGCCTGATTATATTTTTTATTGGACAAAGGACAAATGATGTGTAGTCATCATGAATTTGTAATATGTGACATGTTTTATATCCAGCCCTATGGGGAGATGATTGGATCCATGAAGTGAAAATAAATGTAAATGTAAATATAAATCACCATAAAAAATATCACATTGTATTTGACACATCTGTAAAAATGAAACACCATCCTTAAATACTGGAAAAGCAATATGTGAAATTTAATTTGAAATATATGATATATTTTCACATAAATTCTCCATGCTTTTGTTAAATTTTGTAACATGTTTCTACTAAATGCTCTGCACATACAGTAATAAATTGCCAGTATCTAAGACATCTTTCATCAACATCACGAATTCTTTAATCTCAAGACTTCAGCCATCATACCACAATCTTCATACTTTCTTGGTGAGCACAGCATCTCATATGTCATGGTTAACATGGCTGCAAGTTCACATCAGAATTTGTATGACATGAAGCAGATGAGTGAGAATGAGTCTTACCAAAATGCACTAAATATGACTTCCCATTTGCTCATCATGATTAAGTTTTACACCAGCTTCCATATATTTGAGACTTTTCATACTATATGAAAATGTAAAACGCATAGAGCACAAGTCAAAAGAGCCATTTTAGCACCTGGTATGCATTCAAAGATCTACTCTCCCAGCTCCACCACCAAGAAATAAAACTGGCAATAGCTTTTATAATATTTATTTTTACTTTGATTCATGATTTTAGATATGAAGTTAGGTTCTTCAATGCCGTTGATTAAAGCAAAATAAAGCACATTACTATTAACTGGCCAGACTTGTAATACACGCAGTTTGGTAATAAAACACAACTAAATGAGTTATCACAGCAGTTTAATAATATAATTATCAAAGGAAACACAATAAAATTATGCCAGTAATGTTAGTCTTTCAATTAATAAACATTTCTTGGCAGTGACTGATAAATTCCTCAACTGCAAACTCATCCTGCCCTGGTTCCACCTCTCAAAATAAAAAAAATATGGTACCAAAGAGGCCTGTCAATATGTAAAACTCTACACTTGTATTTAGGAGGTGCTCAGTTCAAATTTTGGCCAGAATGTCAGCTATTCTGACTGAATATTTTATTTCAGCATCCTGTTACACTCACACAATATATATGGANTACTTCAAAATCCTTTCCAACTCATCATTCTTCCGTCATCTTACCATCTCACACTAAAAAATCTTAATAATGAAAGCATAATTAATAATCCACAAAAGAAATGAAGAAAAGAAAAATTATGGTTCCTGAACTCTGTGGTGATATGAATTATGCAATAAAATGTCTTATTTATTAGTAACCAAATTTAAATACAAAACAAAAGAATTTTTCAGGAGATTTTGGATTCTCACAGTAGTGAATATAAACATTATGGTCTTCTGGGATATGACCCCATGTAGATTGGTAGAAAGGTACCATTGTTCCAGAGAAACACTGCTTCAACTTTGGGGGACAGTAGAGACTTCCTACAAAAATATAGTGTCACATCCCAGTAGACCATAATCATGGAACTTTTTAGTACACCAAATATTCTAGTTAAATCGGAGACTGCTTCAAGAATTCCAGGACATTTGGTCACCCCTCCATAATACCATAATCATTTGTTCAATAGACACCTGCACATGTTACTGAGGTCATGCTGAGACTAACCATCAGTTCCTGAGGGAGGTGTACCGCCTTCAATTCCATCATGGGCTGGCTGTGTGTGTACTGCTGTTTCCTTTGTGCCTTGCTGTAAGCACACAAAACAGTTCAACTTACATCTGTTCCAAACACTCATTTACCAAACTAAAAAGTATGTGGCTAACATGACATACTAAGGCTGTGTCTGAAAGTTAAAGGTTCTAATTTAGTAATGGCTGCGACCCATTAGTATATTACACTTTGGATTACTGAGTTTATACACTTTGTCCACCATCTGGTATACTAAAATATTACAACGTTTCAGAAACTAGATCTGTTTTCATCTTCAAATGAAAACTGAATAGGTGCCTCCAAGACAAATAGTACACAACACCACCATCCTGCCTACACATACAGGACCAAAACAATACATATGACTTACTGTGAAGAAACATAACCCTCACTGGACTTCACAGCAATATTTTAATCCAAAGGAAAATTCAATTACTTTTAATAAGACAGTTTTAAATACTAGTGTTTTAACCCTTACAAGAACACAAAGCACAGCACAGAAATGCATAGCATTTCCTTTCAGGTGCTTGTCACTTTCCAATGATGGCCATCATTAATCAAAACATGCAAAGGTTTTATTTTATTATTAAAATCATTGTTACACTCGATGGAACTCAATTCTAATTTCACTTATATGTTGCAGAGTGCAGCGGCTGAAGGCAATATCTATAAACACATGTATCTAATATGTTCGTGTTTATTTATGAGTACATACGAATATAACGGGCAATGAATGACACTACCAACACACCACAATCAAACATGAGATTTTACTGCTGGATATATTTGTAATTAGCATAAGTCAGATGAAATGTATCCAGTTATACCTCACGGTCTTCAGAGATATTAGGAATTTAGGTTCCTGATGTATTAATTACATTGCCACCGAGGCCTGACACATCCAGTGGCCAGGTGGGGATACCCTGATTATACAGAATCTGAAGATATTTTGACCCAGGCTTTATTGAAAAATCATTTCATGAATATGAGTACAATAACTTCATAACTTTGTAGAGTACTTGGTAATTTGGATGCCTGTTTTGGATAAGATTTCCCAAATCCTTATAAACTACTTCACAATCCATTATAAATATTAGTTTATTTCACATGCATAAATATCAACATGCATTGAACACGAAGTGTACTGAAAATTGCAGTCAAAAGGGTCCAGGGTTTCAGCATGGAGACTAGAGATTCTGATAGAATTTCTTGTTTTCCTAACTTATTCCAAGCAACTGCTGGAATCTTACATGCAAATGGGTCACAATACTTTCTGCCACATTTTTCCACTTCACCTTTCACAGTCATCCTACCATTTCATGCTATATAACCTAATCCATTAATTCAGTTTATACCTCCCTCCCCATCACTCTAGGTCTGTAAACTACTTCATTCCTGCTGACAAACATTAAATGCTCTGTAAAAGAATCAGATAAATTTCTTCAGAAAAAGGTTTTTGTCATTGTCATTGTCCATTTATTTTCCATATATATCCCCATATATATCAGACGAAGAGAGACACCAAAAACCAAAAACTGATGCCGGAAGCAGCGTCATCAGCAGCGACTTGAAGCACAGAGCAAATGATGCTCGAGATGATTCAAGTTCGTATAGCAACAGGCGTGACCAGAGTGGTTTGAACGGCTGCTGTACTGCGATGTGGAAAGCAAATGGAAAAACTACCACATTATCACTTTTCCTGGATAGTCTCTTTCCATAAACAGAAGATCGCATTAAGTGGAGGAACTGTTTTGGAAGAGACTGTGGACCTGTCGTCTGACAGATTACTGATGAATGAATGAATATCCCTACAGGTTAAAAAAAAACCAGGATGTGGAAATTGTCCTTTGAATACAGATATCAATATGCATATACAAGATCAAAATCATATACATCAATCAATAAACATAAATAATAATACATTAAGATAACTTACTCACGTTATTAATCCCACTTGGCTTTAACAAGCCAAGGGATAATAAAACAAGTCAAATACATATACATACATAGTTTTAGAAACTAGTTCTCACACCCATGTCAGTATTTGTTCAGATCTGGTAACTATTGTCAGTTATTTTACGTTTCATGGTAAACATTGTTTAGAAGCTTTCATACTTGCCCTTGCCTGAAAATAGACGTGTGCATGTGCACACATACACACATTTATCATGAGCAGAAAAAGATGCTGTACATCTTAATTTTCTAAGTCCCCTTGGCTTCTGAGTCAAAATGCAGATATTGTAAATAAGAACATAGTGATACAGTATTAACTTGTCTAATTTCTTCCTGTCATTTCCAGAGAGCTGTTTCACATAGTGAAAAATGGAGCTGCTAATAAAACAAATACATACCTTCATGGAACAGAGTATAAACTTCCATGGCACAGAGTAAAATCAGACTCTTATCATGGGATTGAAGTTATTCTGTTAAGAGATGTCTATTCTCTTTAAGCCCAGTTGGTTCTTACAGTAAAGCATTCCATGATGCAAAGTTGATTGAAACTACGTCTAGAGAAGTCCTAGTGTCTTTTTATTGCTAGAAAACAAGTTTCTATTTTCATTGTGTTGTTAAGAATTCAAAAGGAAAGTATCAGTTCACATATCTCTGAAAGTTTAAGTGATAAAGATCGGAAGAATTATGCAATGAGAAAGACTTAAAATTCTCTTGTTACCTTCTCAGAATTATGGGAAAGGAATGTATGCAAAAGAAGGAATTCTGTAAAGAAATTTATTGGTTTTCAACATTCTGGAATTATTGCAATATTTACACTCTTCTCAAAACTACTTGTATCAATGCTTTTGTATTCCATTATCATTGTCAATGAAAAATTTTCAGTATCTCTGTTTAACCAGTATGAGTATTAGCAATGAATAATAAATGTCCAGAATTTTATCATGGGCCTTCATATTCAAGAAGAAATACAGAACATTTTGTAATCCAACATTAAGCTACTGCATATATATATATATGTATATATATATATGAGACTTTTTTTTTTAAGTCAGTGAAATTCATATTGTGGCCTTCTGGGTTATAATGCCATGTAGTCTGGTTTGTAATTACAGATACTTCAGAAGAACATATAGCCTCAATCTTTAGGGTACTCATACTCTGAAGACGGTGGCATTATGTTCCTCCAAAATGTTTGCTATCCTCCTACAGTGCACCACAATAAAACAAGTAAGTTATTAACTGATATTTTGACATTAGTGTATTACCATATACAATATTTACTTCAGGTCCCTAAACTAACAACTGTTAACATATCAGTGTTAAACTGGAAATATAAAATCCAATTGTTGACATACGTAACATATACATATATGTACTGTTTAAATTTTACACCATTCAAAGAATCAGCTTTGCACATATTTAAAATGAAGAGAAAAACTGGATTAGCAAACAGCTATGTCATGCTTAATTATGACAGAACATGCAAGATGCTTCCCACTGCAAGTGTGGTTGTATATAGCTAACTGACAGCGTAAGTTTACAATATACTGTATGAAGTAATGGAATTAGATTTAAACATATTTGATATCACTGAAGAAAATTTTAATGCAACTACTCAGTGAATATACTGAAACTGCCTTCCAGAATCTATTTCTGATGGATGAAAAGGTTTATTTTACAAAATTTTACTGCACTTAAATTATTCCAGACCATAACACAATTTATGCAACAATGAAGAAGCATTAAAATAGGCAAACAAGTTAGACAATCCAATTGCAATTTCATACTATGGTCTAAAAGCCAACCTTAGTAAGTAAATACTGGACACTTAGGACCAAAGTTGAACGCATGACTGGAACAGCATACGAGATTTTCATGTAGACTGAAAGAAGTAACTTTAAAGAGATAGACATTGAAGAGAGGATATAATGAATGTATTTCAGGTTAACAAAATGATAGATGACATTAAGAAATACCGTAAGTAGAGAAATCATGTTCAATTCATGTTAATCTGTAGATAACCAAAATGAGCATTCAATTATACACACAAAGAAAGTGTAATTTAAGAAAAGCATTAGTGAGATGGTTTGATAGTTTATGTAACTTCAGAACAGGTATAAAGGGCCCAAACCTTGCAAGGAATATATTATTCCATAACGATATTTCCTTTCATTCTGTAAGCATGCCACACTATTATTGGATGTAGGATATGATTGTATGTAAAGACTATCTCTAATGCTTCTTTTTACAAAAGAGAAAATACTAATATTCTTTGGTTTCATAGAAGACAAGCTTTTGGTTACTTCACAAATGTTTCCAAAACTTCCATAAAAGTAACATTGTGGACAAGCATGAAATGGCATACATTTAAGCAACCCCATAAAATTGACTGGTTACCATGTCCTTAGGCAGCTGGGATAGCATAGTCTGTATAGCGACTGGCTAGGGGCTGGATGACCGAGAGGTAGGAGTTCGAGTCCTGGTAGGGTTAAAAATTTTCACTTCTCCATGTTGTCCAAACCGGCTCTGGGGTTCACCCGACCTCCAATACAATGGGTACTGGGGGCTCTTTCCCGGGGATAAAGCAGCCGGGGTGTGAAGCTGACCATTCACCTCCAACTAGTGCCAATCTATATATCTACTCCCCCATATATCTTCATGGTGTAGTGCTTGATTAGTTAAGCTCAGGACAACTTTACCTTACCATGACCTTAGTGACAGCCCATTTATGTTTGTAAAAGATAAATTTAAAACCACAGTTTGATACCCACCTCAGTACAGAAGGCAACTGTAATAGGCCTAAAGTCTATTAAACAATTGAATACATATTTAAAAATTTATGTTGGTAATATGACAGCATTGATTACCATAATGACTCAACTGTAATATGGATGTACTGAGAACAATAATATTCTGGTTCTGCTATATGGCTATTCAGACAAACTGATTAGGATGGCTTTATACTGTTTGAAAGCAATGATTCCCAAACTATGTCCCATGCAGTTTTACAGACAAATTCCTGTAACAGCAAATTTCATGATCAATAGACTGAACAATCATTTCTTATTAAAAAAACATTATTCCAAAAGTTGTTTCTGTTCTCAAATAATCCAGTATTCAAAATAAGTTCATAAAAGGCCTTATGCTAAGCAATATTATTTCCACAACCACTATTTATTCTTATCATTTACTGACTTGCATGGCACTTTGCCAATTATAAGACTAGTATTACCTCCAATTTTGTATAACAAAAAAATAGAGAAAATCCTACACTGCACTGCCTAACCTACCCATATTGCTTCTTTTAATTTCTACATATTTTGAAAACATCGTAAGTCAATCCAGCACATAGAACATGCTTCTAAACAATGAGAATTAGTTTCTGAAAGATACTGTGTCTATATTTAAATGTTGAAAACACTGTTCATAAGAAAAGTGAAGAACATGAATACATTCAATCATCCCATTAGCTTCGCGATGTAGCTTATGCAAAGAGGTTTTGTTTTATGTATTAAGGACTTGGATAATGTGGGTTGCTTTCAGTATCAAAGGACTGGGGGGAGGGGGATAAAATAGAAGAGAGAGAGAAAAATCATAATAATTTTTCAGAGTCCTCAAATGCTGAAATGGATTGTATCAATTAACTTAAACCAATCCAAAGCCCATAAAATTTTGACACATATGACTAAATCAGAGTAAGACTTTCATGAAGTATGTCACTGAACATTTTTAAGTACCTTTATTAAGTATATGGGGCATGCAATAGCGTAGTTGGTTGAGGCACTATGATAGAAGCTGGAAGGTTGCAGGTTTGAGTCCCAATGAGGTCATTAGATTTTTCAATTGACCTAATCCTTCCAGCCTCATTATGGCCCTGGGGTCGAATCAGCCCCTAACAGAAATGAGTACCAGGAATCTTCCTGGGGTGGGGGGGTAAAGGGTGGCCAGCACGTAAGTCTGGCAACCTCACTGTCATCTGTGAGCCAACTGCCTAGAAAATGTGGAAGCCTTGATGCCTCACAACCCTATGGGCCTCCATGGCCTTTTACTGGGATAGCTTTACCTTTTATTAAATATATTATGGATACTTAAGTTTATTGCAAAATAACAGTACTAACTTTTAACTGTTATTTAGCAATTTGTTTCACATTACAATTGTTACTAAAAAAAATATTAGAATTTCTTCTCCAAATAAGTGTTTTACATTTCATATTATTATATAACAGAGACCACCATAATTAAATTATAATTACAATGACCCTTACATAAAAACCACAAATTTTCAAAAAATTTTATTAAAATGTAATACTTAAAATCATATTTTTCTACTCAGAATAGTTATAAAGTACAATATAAACTTTTCAGGCATAATATAATGGCTGTAATATTGAATGTTCATGGATATTTCATAAGTTTATGGATGGGTCATTGATTTACTTTCCTAATTTTATTAAGTATGAATTACTGTACTCACTATGTAAAATTTGTTAATACCTGTCAGCAGAGATGATAGGAAAGCATGACTTAAGAAGTTACCTCCATATAAAGATGAAAAATACTAGACACAAAAATAAAAACTAGTAATGAAGATTTAACTACCTGGTTGGGAACCTCGTACCATCGTCCAGTGTCGGTTTGTTCAACCTAAATATAGTGACAAAACAGCACACATGAGGAACAGGTATATTTCAGGTTCAATCAAGGCTACCATGTCAACATTAAAAACAGCAAGGTGGAGATCAACCTACAACTCACAAGTTGTATGTTGTATGTAGGCTACAAACTTCTGTACCTACTAAGTCTTCTGAAATGTATCTTCTACAGACCTAAAATGCTAGTAGGTGCACTCCAAGCATTTGCCATACTCTAGTATCTAATGGGTACCTGGAAGGTGGTTAAAGTATTTAATCTTTTGGCAAGTCGTGTAAATTTCTAACATATGCATATTAGTAAGATATAATGGTGGCATTTCAATCAAAAGGAATAGCAATATGCATTAGGCACAGGAAACACATCTCACATACCATATATAGATGTTTCAAACTGCAGGTACTAAAAAACAGGAACTGTCTCACATTCTACAGTGTGTCAATGAATCGGGCAATTTGGCAGCGGTGTTTTTTCCTAGATTGGGTGGAGTGGGGAGGATGCCACTACTGCCACCCAGCAGCCTATTTCGAAGCATTTTACTTTTAATACATATGAATACAGTATAAACATAAAAACATTTGGTTTTTCTCAATTAACTCACTGAAAACAGAAATCTATTTCCATAAAATAACATCCATCAGATAACCACCATTCCACTGTAGGCACTCGGTAAGTCTCTTCCTAAAGTCACTCAGTACTCTTTGCAGCAGCTCTATGGGAATTCATTCAACATCTTCCCGTATTCCATGTTCAACTCATGAACCGTGTGGGGTGCTGGAGCTTTGAATACTTGGGATTTCAGATACCCCCAGAGAAGAAAATCACATGTGGAAAGACCAGGTGACCTGGCTGACCATATGATGTCCCCATACCTGGAGATAACATGATTAGGAAACAGGTTATTCACAACTGCCATGGAAGCATGCGCGGTGTGGCACATAGCCCCATCTTGCTGGAAAAACGTTTCTTCCTTAACCGGAAGACTAGAAAGTGCAGGAGCTAAGAAACTCTCCAACATGTGAACGTAATGTGGTCCAGTCACAATTACAGCCCTTTCCCACTCATCTTCAAAGAAGTACGGGCCAATAATTTTAAACGAAGATATCGCGCACCATACTGCGATCACGAAATTGTCACCATTTTTGTAAAATGATTTCACAGCAAAAGCACATTATGCTCCACTCCACAGCTCCACTGCAACTAAAACACTTGAAGTAGGCTGCTGGGTGCAGTAGTGGAATCCTCCCCACTCCAAGCAATCCAGGAAAAAACACCACTGCCAAATCGCCTGATTCACTGACACACTAAGGCAAAACAGTAGTTCTATGGTGAATATGAAGTTACATGAATATGTATGAGTGAGAGATAATTTAATATTCTGACTTGACCAAACTCTACAGTACATGACATTACTAAAATTTACTTTTAAGTTTATTAAGACAAGGTATACAATCCTTATTACTGAGACTATTTAATGCTCTGATGTAGTAGTCAAAACTGAACAGTATATGTCATAATGAAACTTTACTGTACAGTTTATTGCAACAAAGACTGCAATCCTTTAGTAGTCCATATTGGCATGACATATTATTTATATATAATTCCAATTTTCTTGATAGTTATAAAGTTAAATATTCATCCAAAAATATGAGCTAAAAAGTTATATAAATGGAATAAATGCTGCATTTTAGACTGGGTGGGGAATGAATTTTTTTTTTGGGGGGGGGTGAGTTTACTGGCATTTTCGGTGAAGAATGTTTTAAGATTCCATTAAGGCAGCTTTGGTGTGCACAGATCTTGCTCATATGAGTTATGTTTTAAATCTGCTTCATTCAGCTTTAAATTTGAATTAACTTATTAAGGCCAGAAACTGAAATCAAGGAAAACAAGTCATGCAACCATGTAAATCTGAGCTAATTCAATGGTCATTTGCACATGAAATTCACTACAAACAATGATGGCCATCAATCTCTATTCAGATCCACATTTGGATTACTGCAAGATACTTCTACACATAGTTAAAAACACCAAAATATTATCTTAGCTATGGGGTCCAAAATTAAGATGTGTTTCAAAATATCTTCCACAAAACCATAGTGTGCATTGTGAAAGGTGTTCATCTGGCATTTTCCATACTTCTTTCATGGATATATTTTGGCTTATTTTTTTTTAAATTCCAAGTGTGCTAAATAAAATTTATATCCTATCAGAATTCAACAACACTAGCAGTGAACTTATCATTCTTATTTGTACTGGACATGTTACTGTTAGAATTTCCTCACAACAATTATTAAAGGCAACAAACAAATAATACTATGGAAAGAGAATGAAATCAATATAATTTACAACAAAATGTATTCCACCATTTAAATATTAGAGAAGTTATGGAATTGTTGGTAATAAGTGCTAGATAATAAAACTGTTGAACTGTCCCTGTGCTTCTATTACATGATGTTATATGGGAAATCAGAGGTAATGCAAGGAAATGTTTTGGATAAAATCTTATCAAAAAAGATACTCCTAACTGCATAATGAAATATGTTACACACGAAAGCTTTCAAATATCGTATGCAGTCATAGTCTATATCACCTTCAAATGATTGATGATTAACTCACCTCTAATTATCTCGATAAAGATATAAATACCTACAAGGAAACTGGGACATCACATGTTAAATTTTCCAATACTGTGCACAATATAACATTTTCATGAATTAGCATCCTTCTGGCTGTTACTGCATCATACATTTATATGACTATGTTCATTCATGAGCTGATGGAATGCACAGAATTCCATATACCGATCACAATAATTCAATTCAACTCTTTATTATTTATGTGCCGAGTCAAAAGCTGCAAGGCCAATTACAAACAGAAAATAATAATAATAATAATAATAATAATAATAATAATAATAATAATAATAATAATTGGTCAAAAGTAAAGTTCATGTATCCAATAATTTAAAATATTTGTCTTTATCTGTTTTTAATGCACACTATGCTACTAGCCAGAAGGTCGTGGGCTCAAGTCCCGATGAGGTCATTGGATTTTTTCAACTGACCTAATCCTTCCAGCCGCACTATGGCCCTGGGGTCGACTCAGCCTCTAACATAAATGAGTACCAGGAATATTCTTGGGCGTAAAGGGCAGCTGACAACCTTGCCACCATCTATGAGCCAATGGTCTAGAAAATGTGGGAACCTCAACACCTCATAACCCTGTGGGTCTCCGTGGCCTGTTACAAGGATACCTTACTGTTTTTAATGCAATTTCACTCATTTACTATCATATGCGACTATGATAAACAACAACAAAAACAAAATCCGTGGCTTTAGTCCACAAGCGAACTATACCGGCTGAGCAACTTCTGCTTGTCAGCGAGTGCCAACTTCAGCGGACTGAGGATGTCACGTGGTCAGCGCAATGAATCCCAACAGCCATTAATTCGGTTTTCTAGACCTTAGCCGCTACTCTTCCATTTAAGTTGCTCCTGAATTATCCTCACAAAGCTGAGTGGACCCCATTTCAGACCCACTACTTCTCAGAATATCTGGTAGCTTTGGGAATCGAACCTGGGACCTCTGGATCTGTAGCCAGCAGCTATGACCACTAGACCACCAATGCAGTCGTGACTATGATAATATATATTTTAATATCTCCATCAAGCAGTTCATTAAGTAAAAAGAAATAAAAAATAATATTATTAGGCTTCTGACATGAAGGTGAATAGATTTGTCTAAAACTGGAAATGTACAAATAAGTAGCAGATATTAGAATACAAAACTCTTACAAACAAGAACAATGATTATGTGACTAGCTGTAGTGTCACAGCAGAAGCCACTGTCACAGTACAGAAGAAACTTCAGCACTAATTTGAATTATTTCATGCTGTATGCATAGGTTCTCTTGTAGCGTATTACTTCTGAGCTATAACAACTGTTATAGCGATCATTTTCAGCAATCAGAAGTGACTGCAAAGTATTAAAACGTTTGTTTCATAACTTTCTATGTAGGTGAAATTCCACACTTTTGAACCAATCCATATATGCTACACTGAGGTATATGTCAAAGTGTCCGCAACAGTGCTAAGACTTGTAATCTTGATTCAAATCCTTTAAAGAAACAGAACATTGTTACAGTGATTGACAAATAATCAAACCCAAACAAATATAAGCTCTGACAAGTATGAAGCTCACTCATATTGATTTCATTTTCTTCCTCTTGTTATTAGTGATAAGTGCCTTTATATTAGATGGCAAGACATTTTTCCACAAATTTCTGTTTTCAGCAACATGTATTCAGCATAACTTACCTTCACAAGCTGCCTATGTTGTGGTTGCTATGTGAGAAGCAGGCCAGGCAGGATTGCCATGAAGGAAAACAACACAACGATTAGTATGGTAGCACACTCTGCAGAAACAAGAAGCAAGTAACACTCTCTCTTTTACCCTTTCACTGCTGATGATTTAAACAGAAGTTCGAGTTAGTCAAAACTCCACTTTGCAGAAAATCTGTGTTAATAATTAACATGCATGCTCAAGCAGAGAAAACTATTGCCATGACAGTGAAAGGGATAAGATTTGAGATTTAATAGTAATTTGGCAAAACTGGCATATAATACTTTATTAATTAAGTGATTATTTATTAACATTATATATGTCATAACTTTCACTTAGAATGACAGATCATATATGACACAAAGAAAAACAATTTTCAAAAGCTATGAACTAGTAATATATTATTAATATAAATATTAATTTATTGAGTCTATGTTATCTGTTCTATTAATGAACAAATTAATTAATATCATAAAGTAATATATTGGTTATCATCAGAGTGACATTATAGAATGCTAAGTGGACCCCTACAGCCATTATGCATATTTATGAGATCTCAATTTTGTTACAATTGAATAGTTCATTAGTTTTTTCAATTTTCAGAGCAGTCAGCAATTCCATGTTATAAAACTGGTGATAAATGAATGTAACTTTAAAGTTGTTGAGCTTAATTATCCATGGCACTAATTCATGCACTTCTCACTTAAAATGCAAGTAGCAAACATAAAACAAAACAATAAAATATAGCAATATTTCCTGTCTGATGTTAAAATGATTCTGACATTGAGTGTCATAGAAGCCAATTAGTATCCTATAATGCTTAAGGCAGTACAATCTTAATACAAGAAACTGTTTTCAAAATCGGTGTAAAAATTCCAATTAGTGTAAATAAGAACAGTGTAATATTAACCTATATGCGCCTAGGTGTTCATTCAGCAGCATGATGGCCAATAATTATCCAGTTTATAGAACCCTGAATTAGCATTCCATGCTGTATGTTAAATTAAGAACATGATCAGGAGAAGACACACAGGAAAGGAAAAATCATAAGCATAAATTATGAAACAATAAAAAATGATATTGTCCCTTTAAAATAAATGCTTTTATATTTGAAGCAAATGCATTTGTGGAATTCAAAACCATATCACACTCCAAACCCCACTTCGATATAAGCTTGCAATTTTACTCACTCTTTGTACACTGTGTATGATGAGAGTACTTTTGCTCGTTTGTGTGGGACCCACTTTATTCCTGGCTTCCAGTTCCTTCAAAGCAGAATCTGTCACCACATCACCACCATTTGTTAACTGCTCTGAAAACACAACAGTACTTTCTGTAAATCCTTCCTTATTTAACAAACTAATGCTTGGTACAATGCAATTATAACAAAGAGTATCAAACAGAACTCATAAAGCTTACTTTCCTGTTGCAGAGATTTTTATATACGAGGAGCATTCCATATATAATGCTACCTATTTTTTTAATGAAAACTACAGCTGATACAGAAAGCATAATAATGCTGTTAAATAAAGCAAGATTTCAGCTACTTACAGCTATTTTTCCACATAATCGCCACCATTCAAAATGCACTTTTGCCAGCAATGAACAAGAGCCTGTATGCCGTGCCCGTAAAAGTCTGTGCCAGCAGAGGCTAGCCACTTTCTTACAGCTGCAATGACAGCATCATTATCTGGAAAATGTTGCCCACATGGTCCATCTTTCATAGGCCCAAAGAGATGGAAGTCTGAAGATGCTAAATCAGGGATATAAGGTGGATGTGGTAGGACAGTCCAGCCAAACTATTCAGTGTGCGCAGTGGTTGCCAAACTGGTATGGGGTCTAGCGTTATCGTGTTGCAAGCAAAAAGTTGTCTGCTTCTCTGGCCTAACTCAGGAAATGCGGGCTTTCAGCTTAGTCAGCGTCATCTTGTGGCATTCAGAATTGATAGTCTCACCAGGCTTCAGGAAATCCAACAAAATCACACCCCGCCTATCCCAAAAGACTATGCACATCACTTTCCCTGCTGATGGCTGTGTCTTGAACTTCTTTTTTCTTGGGGGATCCGGATGTCAGCACTCCATGGACTGTCTTTTGGATTCCGGCTCATAGTGGTGACACCACGTCTCATCTCCGGTGATGACGCTGTCCAGAAACTTGTCACCTTCAGCCTCAAACTGGTGCGACAAGTCCTGACAGACTTCCATTCGATGAGTTTTGTGGTCCTGTGCAAGCATTCGCGGGACCCACCTGGATCAAACTTTGCAATAATCCAGCTTCCCCAACATCATTTCCAATGCATTACAGCTGACATTAAGCCGTGCATACAGTTCCCTGGTCATTATCCACCGATCTGTATGGATGAGCTGATCGAGGTGCTGTTCATTGTGAGGACTGGCAGCTGAGCAGGGACGCCCAGGGCGAGGCTTGTCCTGCACTTCATTTTCGCCACTGTTGAAACGCACTACCCACCACCTCACTGTGCTGACATCCACTGTATCGTCTCTGTACAACTTTAGCAAGCGTCAATGGATGTCAATAAGTGCAATTTGTTCGGCAGTCTGAAATTCAATAACACACCTCTGTTTTGTACGCACTTCTATGTCAGACGCCATTTTGGTAGACTGCTCTGCTGTTGCTATCCATCACACAACAACCAAACTAACAGTACATTGGTGGGAAGGTTCAACCTTTACTACAACACCACCAACATCTAGCTGAGACGTTACATATTGTATTATACCCTCTCTGCAGTGACGTAACAGAAGAGCAACTGTGTCAGGCAACCACTGCCACAGTGATGATATTGACACAAAAAAAAATAGGAGGCATTATATACGGAACGCCCTTCGTACATTATTATTATTGTTGTTGTTGTTGTTGTTGCTGCTGACGATGATGATGTTTATGTTGTTATCCTTATTATCATTAAATGTACATTAAATTTGTTGCATATAACCTTAGGTTTCATACCATCGCAATCTTTACAATTCTTTACTTAACAAACAAAAAGTTAATTTTCACACTACAGCCATATTGTTACCTTACATTCTAAAGAGAATTATCTTAACATAAGCTGTATATCTTTCAAAGGTCTATTGCTGTTTATCATTTCAGGGCCCTAAATTGAGTGACACTGTCATCTCTCAAGTTATCACTCACGCCATTTTGTTAGCACTGAGTGCAGGAAATCAAAAAGCAGAATATTGGGGTGGCCCCAAATAGCATAATGTGCATAGTAGATTTGGGGGAAAACAGATAACTGTTTCAAAAGTAAAAAATGGTTAAAATATTATATTTAAGCATCCTGTTACACTCACACAATATATATGAGACAAACTCCGTCTTAAGTGCAACAATTTTATTGTAGTTCTTTCTTCAGCTACAATAAAATTGTTGCGCTTAAGACGGAGTTTGTCTCACATATAAAAAATGGTGTTAAGCACATGTGCATACACGCATACACACACACACACACACACACACACTCACACACCGCCATTTATGCACACTCATGCACTCACATTCAAGCGCACACATGCTCACATGTGCACACTCACACACTAAGCATGGTCATCTCAGAAGCCTACTTTTTCATTAAGGAAGGAAAGTAGGAAAAACAATAACCAATATAATTGATGTTCATTTGTTTCACATTTTGCTTCAAGTCAATAAAGACAATGAAACTAAATCTCCATAAAATGAGTTCCATCCATCTGTACATAACAACGTCCTTATCTCACTTTAGGGAACTGTAACTTTTACAAAGTTTTATAAAACTAAAAAACTCCATGGCTTGTGTCCACAAGCAAACTATGCTGACCGAGTGACCGCCACTTGTCGGCGAAGTTAGTGCCAACTTTAGTGAATAGAGGGCGTCACGTGGTCAGTGCAATGGATCCTCACGGCCATTAATTTTTCTTTTCTAGACCGGAGCTGCTACTTCCTTGAAATAGCTCCTCAAATATCCTTATTGGACTGTGTGTACCCTGTTCCAGACACACTACTTTTCAGAAAATCTGGTAGCGCCAGGAATCGAACCTGGAACCTCTGGATCTGTAGCCAAGAACTGACCACTAGACCACAGAATGCCTTAAATATAATTTCAAGTATTCCACAAACTACAACAAAAGAATTGCAACTGCCACAAGTGCTTGTGCATTGAAGATAATATACACGATAATACACACAGCAAATCTTCTTCACAAAAGAATCACACAAAAATTAAATTTTCAGAGGGCATGACATAGATAACATCCCGTGGCATGATACAATGTAATAAAATTACTTCTTAAAAGTGAGTTTTAACAAATTAAAAAATATATCAAACAGATGACGTGAAGGCAGAAATTGCTAAGCCCTGAATCAGCAGTTCACCCTGGAAATACTAATTGAATTAAGTATTCTTTAGTCAATACTTTCAAAGAATTGTGCCCTGGTAAATGTTCCTTTTTCATTTCGTGTAACTGATATATAATATAAAATTATGATATTTGCCATCTTCTGGGATATAGCGTCGTGTAGTCTGTATATAAGCCAACGTTTCGGAGGAACATATCACCTCCATCTTCAGGGTCAAAAATCAGCTGAGCAAGAAACCAGTGAGACCAGGAGGCTAGGAACCTCATATACGGACTACAGAGCGCTATATTCCAGAAGATGGAACTACTGCTGTGAGAACCTCAAATCCCAAAAATAAAATTAACTCACCAACAGTCCCTGGTTTTGAGAACACAGTTTTTGTAGTTGTCACCACACCCCCTGATGGTGAAACTGTTCTCAGTGTTTCTTTAAGTTTGTATGGCTTATCTCCTAGATGTGGAATATCTGCTCCCTCTATAAACAAAAACTAGAAGACAGAAATAAACAAAGAGTTTATAGTTTCAGAACTAACACCGGAATATTTTGTCACAAATTTTTTACAAAAGTTGAAGAACAGGAAAAGAAGCAATTACAGAGCTGAATTGAATTTATAATTTAAGATATAATGACATTTCATATATCAATACCTTTTTCTAAACCACTAAAAGTCAGTGCCATCACAGAGCAGAATTCAATTTTTTTAATTTGTGGAAAGACACAAGTATTCCAGTGCCTCCTTATAAATTTTTCCACTGAAAGTTTCTTTGGAAAAAATAAATAAATATGGACATAAGTTTAATACTGCTTGAATGTTTCCCATGTGACAAATAGTACCTACATTGAAGAATAGTGAAAATTATTTATAAATACTACGAGTTCAAAAATTTTCCCTAAAAATATCATTTTCAAGTATCAGCTATTTCAGAAAACATAACTCTTTCAAATTTCCGCTTTTTATCACTTAGTATACTTCAAAATTATTTCTTTTATAAATATATCAGAATGTGACAAAAGCAAGGGAGTTAAAACACACACAGTGTTAGCGCACTGTGCTGCCGAAGTTTTAAATTTTGCCACTTCTGCCATAATCTGCAGCTTGATGTCCAAGATACTGGCAGTGCTTAACGTAGAAGTGCATTACATACTAACCTCTACAGTTAGTGTGCCTGACACTTCATCTGCTTCATAAGGCCGTGACTGGAGGGAAATAACTTGCCTCTGACTGGGATTAATGAGCAATTCCTCTACACCAACTATACCCAAACCCATGAATCGGTTGGCCTTGTTTGCACGGTCATATATCTCAAACAGAAGTTCTGCCGTATTTGGACTCAAATCACTGCAGAATGAAACAAATTATTAGTTAACTTTTGTCTTCCAGTTACATTTAAACAAAGGAAACGTTAATTTCACAGTCATTATGTTTATATTTTTCTACCATTAAGTATTTGTATCTTTATTTTAATTCCATATATCCTTACTGGCTACCAAGGCCATCAGATATTGAACATGTCGCATATGCATATATCAGTTCTAAAAACAGAACTAATCACCTTACAATTACATCCATAACCAAAGGAATAATTATATAGAACTCAGTAATTTAACAAACATATTGGACTCATCAACTTGACAGCAATACCTTACTGAAATCACAGCTTAAATATATAAGCACGTATCAGATTATAATAAATAAATTTATAGCATTATAATAGCTTTAATTCATCTTGTATTTAAAATGTTTGTCTAATGTATAAAATGAATGGAAGTACAAACAATTTTTGAAGGCCAATTTAAACTGTTTTGTATTATGGGACAAATCCTTTATTGGAACAGGTAAACTGTTAAACACCTTAAACCCAGCATGATAAGTTCCCTTCTGATAAACTGACAAATGAGACAGTGGATGATGCAAATCAAATTTGGTATTAATATTAATATTATATATCTCAGAATTTTCTTTAAAATGGTGTTTATTATTGATCACAAACAATAAAAGTGAATTTGTTTAACTTTTCATAATAAAAGTGAATATATATATATATATAGTGGTAATATTTCTAATTCTATAAAGAATCCTCTACATGAATCTCTATCTCTAATCCCCATCATAATTCTAAGAATTTTTATTTGTAGTCTAAAAATTATACTGCTATAATAAGAATCTCCCCAAAATATCAGTCCATAAGTCATGACAGAGTGAAAAGAGGAACAATATAACATCTTCAATGATTCTTGGAACAAGAAAGGCTTAATTGTTCTAATTGCATAGCAAGATGAACTTAGTTTGGGTACAAGTACTCACATGAGTCTTCCAAGAAAATGTCAGTCCGAGGAATTGTGTACTATAAATAACAGGTGACTTAAAACAAAACTCACCGATTTTCTTAATAAAATGTAACCTAAATTATTTCAGTAAGACTTTAATATAATTACATGACTAGAATACCAAATAAAACGGTATGTGTCAAATGTAAAATTAACTGAATAACATTCAATTTTTACTCTTCAAATGTCTGATGAATATGAGAAATTTTATGCAACATACTTCGCAGCACTTTTTCCTTTACTTCAAGTAAAGGAAACATACATTCAGAACAGTCTAAATAAAAAAATACAAAGATTTAAGTATAATATTGCCCTCTTTCACATATACGAATGAAGAAGGTAAATAGACCAACTTCTTTATTTTCCTAGGAGCACATGGTCAATAGACTCTTTATCCAGTGTCTCACCCTTTGCCACACAAATATTCAGAAAAACTTAATTCAGTGTGTACTGTTATGATGTGAAGAACTTACAAAAGAAAATGCTCATCCCATACAGGGTTGCTGGTGTCTTTTTTAATGGAAGTTGAATTCTTTTGTGGAGGTTCATCCATTTCCACAACACAGAATGGTTCTGAACAACCTACACATAAAATAACGTTACTGTTACTTGTACAAAGATGAAATGATTAACACTGTTTGCATTTACTGGCATTTGGAATAAAATTATATAAATTATTACCTTTTTTTCCACCAAGAGAAGTGGCTTTAATAACTTTAACCAAAAGCCTTTTTTCTACTGCAGTCTTTGTGGGAATGGACGAAAATTGTGAACTCACCTGTAATAATATATGACATATATTCTCACATTGGTAAAGAACACTGGAATGATGTGAAATGACATGAACATGTGTAGGACTAAATAACAATCACATTGGCATTTAAAAAGTAATGTCATATACAAATGAATAAAACGTAATATACTGCACCAACAAAATATTGTCATGTGTTGGGTATGTAACGTGACAAATAACTTCACGCCATTCTGGATCTAGTGAATTTATTGCACATTTGCTCTTACATTTACACAATTTACTGTTTCACAACTACTGCCATCGGCAGTATCACAATTACTTCCACTGCTCTCAGCGACTTCACTATCCACACTGTGTCACTCCTAATCACACACTCTGGCTCACACACTGCTCAGCCGGCCTTTTTATACCGTTCCCTGTTGCCCCATGTTAACAACGGTGTCCCCTGTTACGTCATCGCGGGGGGAAGGGGCAGTGGCATAGCAGTGGCAGTGGCTCCTATGCTGTTATGTCACCGCGGGGGTGGGCGGAGTGTTTACCGAGCGTTGCGCCATCGACGTCACATTGCTCCCTTCTAAAGGCTGTTCGTTGCGAACAGTCTAACGGTATATCCCCGTTCTTTTTTCCCCCCGTTGTCCGTTCTCCAACCGCTACACCCAATCTCTCTCTAAGACCAGCTCGTCTCGAGCAGTTTCCTGCTAACGTGCCAGAAGATCCAATTTTATCACAATCGTCCCTCACATTCATCCATCGCACATTCACTCTCGCTTGAGAGGCCGGTGCTTCTAGGTTACAGGCTCCTCCTCTGCTTGAAGTATCTTTTTCCGTTTTGGAGGGGATTGACCCCTCCACAAGGTCCAATCCTTGTCTTGTCGTAGGCCGACAGAAGATCTGACTATTCGCTTTCCGATCATCACGCTGACGATCTCGTAGATGGTCTTCTTACGAGTTTTTCTCCCTCCTAGTTGCGATCGCTGTCCTGATGTACATCCTCCGATGTCGTTCTTGGTTGGCACCTTTTTCTTCTGGCATAGCGGCCGTCTGCCGCCTATGTTCTTTATTCCTGTTCTTCCTTTGTGGATAATCCGCACTCTTTCTCTGAGTCCTCGGATTCTTTCCTCATACTTGGTCCTGATACAGTTTCCCTTATCGACGCTTCTCTTGCGCCAGGCGATTCTTGGACGACCGGACATCTTTCTGCCGGTTTCCTTTGTCTGCCGTGCTATACTTTCGCACGGTGGCTTGTCCCTCTGCGGGCGACGGCCAGTTTTTTCTGGGATACAAAATGTTTCCGTGTCGTATACTTCGGTTTCTGGCGGCGGCGCTCTGCGGCCAGTTTTCGGTCCCTACGCAGTTTCTTCTTCGGTCCGACGGGAATCACTGCGGCGTCTTCTACAGGGACCTCTCGTCGTTCTGCCGCTTCAGGTTTCATGTCCCCTGAGGTTGGATCTTCTTCTTCTTCTTCTTCTTCTTCTTCTTCTTCTTCTTCTTCTTCTTCTTCTTCTTCTTCTAGACGTGCCTCCGTTTCTTGGCAGGCCATCGTCTCTTTTCGGTTAATCGGCTGGCCGGTTTTTCTATCAAGCTCTGCATTTTCTTGGCAGGATTTCATGTTGGCGTCCATTCTTGCCAGCATTTCTTCTTTGTCAGTCTTTCTATTGGCCTCCGTCTTAGCTTGGTCCGTTCTGATTTCCTTCAACAGCAGTTCCATCATCTGCTGTGACTCCATTTATGTGGCAGTATAATACTCGATGCACAATAATTCGTTCTAATTTGTGGCGTGTTTAAGTTCGTAAACCAATTCTGACACCAAATTGTCACGTTTTGGGTATGTAACGTGACAAATAAATTCACGCCGTTCTGGATCTAGTAGATTTATTGCACATTCACTTTTACATTTACACAATTTACAGTTTCACAACTACTGCCATCGGCAGTGTCAAAATTACTTCCACTGCTCTCGGCAACTTCACGATCCACACTGTGTCACTCTTAATCACACACTCTGGCTCACACAAGTCCAAGTCCAAGTCACACTGCGACTAACGGTCGGTCAGTCAGTCAGTCAGTAAGTCTTGGTATCGAGCAACCTCCTGGGGCTCATGACCAGACATTTATTGCTCCTCGACTGTTACCGTCTTGTTTCTGTGGGGCGCCCTCTCTGACGAGGGGACGGGTCTGTCTTTTGCATATGCTGCTGGTCCTTGCCAGGGCAGTGTTTCTCGGGTCCTAGTCCCTTGGGACTTGCGATCACTGCTCAGCCGGCCTTTTTATACCGTTCCCTGTTGCCACGTGTTAACAGCGGTGTCCCATGTTATGTCACGGTGGGGTGTGGGGGGCGGAGTGTTGACTGGTCTGTTACCGTAGCAGCGGTATCGGCTCCTGTGCTGTTATGGCACTGGAGGGGGGAGGGGGGAGTGTTTACCGAGTGTTGCGCCATCAATGTCACAATATATTACAATTCTAAAATTTTTTATTAATATGTATATGGAGAAAAGAGCAGCAAGGGGAAGTTAAGCATTACATTATGATAGAATGGCTGAGAGTAATAACAACAAACAGCAAAACAACATGCTATGAATATGACCTGAATTTCATGAGGAAAATTTGAGGTAGGTCTGGTAAATCAAAATTTTAAAATTTGCCTTTACATTGTTTATAACAGAATTTAACACCAAGACTAGACAGGAATAACAAGTGAATGCTACTAGCAACACAATCACATTTTTGGTATGCACAATAATATTCAGCTCAACAAAGAAATTGATCTTTGGGGCCTCAAATTATGAAGCATTCTGTCTAAATGTTGTGCAGAAGTGGCTTAGAACAGGTACTATAGACATATAAACTACAGCTCACTCATGGAGCTGAGCCCTTCTTGAGAAGCCTCCAATTCTGCAGTTACTCTAGATCTTCCCAGCATTTTATGGAACTTGAAGCTTCATTAACGTGTTCTCAAGAGCCCTACACTGATCCTCATCCTGAGACAGATCAAGCCAATCCATACCATTCCATCCTATCTCTCTAAGATCCATTTTAATACTGTCCACCCAATTACAACTTGGTCTTCCCAGTGGCCCCCTTCCATCTGGCTTTCCCACCAATATCCTATGTGCAGTCCTCTTCGCCCCTTTCGTGCTACATACCCTGCCCATCTCATCCTTCTTGACTTGTTCATTCTAATTATACTTGAAGAAGAGTACAAGTTATGAAGCTCCTCACCGTGCAGTTTTCTCCAACCTCCTGTCACTACATCTCTCTTTGGTCCAAATTTTCTCCTCAAAACCATATTTTCAAACACCCTCAGTCGATGTTCCTCCATTAATGTCAGAAATAAAGTTACACACCCATACAGAACCACATGCAAATTTATAGTTCTGTATGTTCTAATTTTTATGTTTTTGGACAGCAGACAAGAAGACAAAAGGTTCTGGACTGAATGGTAGCTAGCATTACATGAGTTCCATCTCCTCTTAATTTCCTCCTCATCAGGTTTTGATTTCTTATCGTTGTTCCCAAATATCTGAACTGTGTCACATTTTCTAAACATCTGTTACCTACCTTTATGCCATGGTTTTGCCCTGCATTTTGGTGATGAGACAGCAACATATACTTAGTTTTCTCTGTGTTTACTTCTAGACCAACCTCTTTACTTGTGTCAATTAAAGTCTGTGTATTTTCCTTTTGGTATCCATGTTATCACCCAACAGATTCACATCATATGTTAACTACAACGCTAATGTAAATGTTAGCTCTCAGGATTTGTGCTCAACATAAAAATATGAACTTCAAATGCTGGACATATATCATATTTACAATTGGGAAGTAAAAATTGTTCCCAGTTTGAGCTGGAGACCAAAACCACCAGTTACCATCTTAATATGTTGGACAAGACCAGTGACACATCCACCTTCATTTGTTTAAGATCATTTAGGTTTAATCAAGAATTGGTGTGAATATTACATCAACTTGTAACTAGAAACTGAAGGGGTTTTGTTGTTATTCTTATATCTGAAACTTCATACACCTTATAATATTTGTTTCACCTGACAGGGCATGACATGTACTTACCATACTATCATAATGGACAGGGAGTACATAGGGAGGGGAGCTTCGGTGTCTTATAAGCCGTGGACATGCGGCATACTGGCTGAAGTTGAGGTGCACCTCAGTATTCCTAAGGGCCAAGACCACAATCTCTGATATCACATCCTGAAGCTGTTGTTCATCCAAATTATTCTTTATGCTCCCCACTGGTGCAAGGGCAACTTTAATCTGAAACATGTGCAGATCATTTCATCCCTAAGCTTCAAACTTAGAGGACTTCCATACTTGCTTCCTTCTTCCCACCCAGTAGGGGGTTTCTTCAACAGTTATGCCTATTTTCAAAAGTATACAGCATAAGATAACAGTAAAGTTCAATAATTATTAAATTTCCTTATCACTGACATGGCATATTTAACATGTCACAAAAAAATCAACAGCTTAAGTTATAATGATTCCCAACTACTATTCTTGGAGTGATTAAATAATGTAGGGCAAGATCAGCAGGACATACAGCACACAAAGAAGAACTGAGAAATTCACAGAAATTTTTGGTTTGGAAATATATGTTACTAAGTCTTACTCAAATGGTACTATAATGGTATGTCAGAATATGTTTACATTAATTTAGCTTTTAATCGGTTATTTAATATGTACTAATTGATTATGAGATCCAGAATCTCACAGCAGTGAATATTAAAACTGTTGTCTTCCAGCATCTAATGCCATTTAACCTGACTGACAGTTACCAGCATTTCAGTGGACCATACTGCCTCTGTCATCAGAATTAAATTTTCAAGATGGAAGCAATAAGTCTTCTGAGAGATTCACAACATATATGGATAAATACCGTCTTAAGTGCAACAATTTTATTGTAGTTTTTACTTCTTTTTCCTCCTCCACACTACATGTTTCGGCCCTAAATGGCCATCATCAGGTGTGTATCACTCACGTAACTGTTACACTGCTTGTTAAAAATGTAAAAATCCCAGTCTTTCTAATTGTATAAAATCTTTGTTAATCTACACGCGTCGATTTGATTTTTAAATTAGCACTTTTTAAACCTTAATTCAAGTTAAAATGTCTATAAGATCTTTGTTCTCTTTCTTTTTCAAATTAAAATTTTTCAGGGTACATGCCCTATATCTACGGTGCTGCAGCGGCCACTTCTTGTTTTTATCGCTGTTCATGTGTTGTCTGTAATATACAAATATTTGTGTTACTATCTTATGTTATGTCTTGTTATGTTATTCTTATATGTTTATACTGTTATTTGTACTTACTCAGTGTAGGCGCTCTCTGTGTGTGTCGCTGCTTATCTTTAATACGTGTGCTGTCTGGTGTATTGTGTGCTGTGTTTCA